AAAGAGTTCCATGTGAACTGTTGCAGTAGGTAATTCCATACATAGAAGAACCATTGCTTTGATGAAGATATATGAAAATATTTTCCAGTATTATTTTAACCTTTTCCAGTGAAGCAAATGGACTACAGTTGTAATCAATCAGTGAAGAATAAAGTCAGAACCCTCCTCCCCCCACCCCCACCCCCAAAAAAACCCCAAAACCCACACCCTAAGTGAAATCAAACTGTTTTTTCCTTTGTCTTATTCACTACAGACATAGGGTAAAAGCCTTGATTATTGTAGTATGGTTGCCAAGAACTTCAGTGACGCCAGAATTTCACTTCTAATTTTTCCAGCCTTCTAAGGATTTTCATGTACTGTAAGAAATCATCTAATTCTCATGAAAAAGTGAATAAAGCCCTTCCTTCAACATGATAAGGAAGACTTTTTTTATATTAATCCTTACATTAAAAATTAAATTAATCCTTAAAATTAAAAAATCTGGTAATTTATTTCTAGTTATTTGGTAAATAATTGTATCTGAAACAGTTACTAAAGAATCTGAAAACTTCTGTACATTTTAGTGAAACTGATCTCATCAGTATCAAGTTAATTTTCAGTGACAACTTATGTTTCTTTTATGAAGATCATCAATTAAGATTTTCTTGGAATGTTTGCTTGGTGGTGCTTAGCTTCCAAGTGGTCTGTGAATGTATGATTGGCTTTTTATTGGTTTTCATTCCAGAAAGGTGAGAAAGGAGATCCAGGCATTCGAGGCATCAATGGGCAAAAAGGAGAATCTGGTATCCAGGGTTTGGTTGGACCTCCTGGTCTCAGAGGTCAGCCAGGAGATAGAGGACCCCCGGGAACACCTGGATCAGATGGAAAACCTGTATGTGTTAGACATCAAACTTGTCATTTTCGGGTACCTTAAAACCCCCAAACAAATGCATACTCTCTGTTTTTTTAACCGTTCTCTGTTCAATTCAGGCACGAGAATTTTCTGAAGACTTTATTCGACAGGTGTGTTCAGACGTACTGAGAAGTAAGTTTGAAAGCCTCTTTACTGTTCTTTCATTGTTTAAAGTGCTAAAGAAGTTTCCTGATAATTATGAAGATAATTTCTTGAAAACAAGATTGATATTTCTGATTTATCACTTGTTTTCCTTCAGTGTGGAAATATATTTCTGCACCACAGGTTCTGTACTTTACCTTCTTGTTTCCTAAAGGTATCATATTCTCTAAAGAGAGGAAACTTTCTGTATTAGTGTCTACAGAGCAATATTTTGATATTGTATTTTTACAGTAATCTAAGCAATTTTTTGTTTGAATTCTCCCAGCCCAGTTGCCTGCCATCCTCCAGAGTGGAAGGCTACAAAACTGTAACCACTGTCAATCCCAAAGTGCTTCCCCGGGACTTCCAGGACCACCAGGTCCAAGAGGCCCTGAAGGCCCAAGAGGGTTTCCTGGTTTACCAGGAAGCGATGGCGTTCCGGGGCTGACAGGCATCCCAGGTCGTCCTGGGGCTCGTGGGACAAGAGGTACTGCATACGTGTGTCATGGTACTAATGGCCTTTATGACTTTGTTTTCTGCTTCTGGTTTGGAATAGGTTTAGTGCAGGGTGGAGCAAGGGCATAAGCTGGGTTTTGTGTCAGAAAGCGTAATTTGAAGACATGGTGCGATGTGTATATTTCATCGCTTGTGAAGAGTTCGTGTTAGAAGAAGAGAAAATACAAGAACCCAGCAAGATAGCTAGTGTTCAGTTCTACTATAGTCAGTCTTCTGATCTTTTTAGAGAGCTCTCAGCATTATGTAGATGTTTTTACCTGCATTTAGGGTTTTTATTTTTTTGTACATCACATATGCTTAGACATGGATTTCAATGTATTTCCATGTTTAATGGTTTCTTTTCTTCCAAACTTCTTTGTTCCTGCTGTTTTAAAGAACAGTATTTATTCGCTGTCGATTTACTACCTGCTATCCTGTTGGCTCCCCTTTTTGGCATGCGACAACCTTTATACTCCCTCTGATTTCCTGTGGCTTACTCCTTTTTTTTTTTTTTTTTTTTTATCTCATAAGGATTTTTACTCCTTTCTTTATGCTTTTCTGTTTTCTTTTTAGGCAAGCTAAGGTTTATGCTTTCAGGTAACTCATGTGTCTGAGCATTCCAACTGATTTCTCTGACGTATTTGCAGACTTTAAGTATGCATATATAGTCTTCATCTAGACCGAGAGACTGGGTGAAGTTCACAAGTTGTTAACTGGTCCCAGCAGCAACTGTGTTTCCTATAGCATCAGGGTAATCAGAAAAGCTGTATGAAATACAGCTAACTAGTAATGTGCCGGGGTAGGCAGGCAAATGATTGGTAAATATTTACTTTCTTTGTGACTTACTAACTATGACCTAGCACATCAAATTCATTTTGAATGTAATGATGCTTTGCCTGTAGTGCTTTTGTAATTTCATCTCCAATAGGAGAATGTGCAGTTTTCCTCTGGAGCTGATACTAACAGTTCTGGCTATTCCATAAGAGTTGAAGAAATGGTTATCTGTTTCTATGAAGAAACTATTTATTGGGTCTACTGGTGTAAGAGAGCACATTTTGCCTCTCTCAGTACTTGTTTGGTGGAGATTTAGTTCTGCCATGTTGTGGAAGATTATCTATATGTTCTGTATTCCACAGGAACTGTGGTGAATACCTTACACTTCCTTCATACAACTTCTTAAAAACTTTGCCAGTGGAAGGGCAATGACAGCAAGTTTCTTAATTGCTTATTCTCTCAACTCATAGTGGCTGTCTGCTTACCAGGTGCTACATCATCTCTTAATTCAGTAGAGATTAGGATAATTTAGAACTCAGGTACACTGCACAGGTTACAAGGAAATCTTAGTTTACATCCCATTATTTGCTTTTGAACTATTACTTTTTTTATTCAATAAGTATTATCAAATGCTGACTTCCTAATTCACTGGATGAAAATATTTTTAGTGTGCAAAGATATACATGTGTTTTCTAATTCACAGGACTGCCAGGGAAAAATGGTGCAAAAGGCAATCAAGGAATTGGGGTTCCTGGGATCCAAGGCCCCCCAGGACCTCCAGGTGAGTGATGGTTCAGCTGTGCAGATTCAGTGCATGCTAATAATTAAAAAAAAAAAAAAGGTGATTTAGAATAACTGTTGGTATGATTTCGAAAAACGTAGATAGTTTTTACACATATTAATTATCATGTATGTTTTATGGCTAATGGCTGTCTCTTGCATGCCTTTAAAACTGTCATATAATACATTATTTGATATAAAACACGTCTTGTAGGGATTGGTACCTGAGACTGATGTTTCTTGATAGATGGATCTTTAAGTCATCCATTAGCTGAAAACTGAACCATGTTATAATCATGTGACTTGTAAGCATTGCTTAGTGAAGGAAAATGTTCCTCCTAACAGTAGTTTATTCATGTAAAAATGCAAAGTTGAGTGTTTGGAAGAGATATTAGGGCCTGATCCAAAGTCAGAGAAATGAATAGAAATGGGAGGCCTCTGATCCATGCCATGGTGGTTCCAGGTTACATAATGAAGTATAGCAGCAGACAGAAGTATATTTTTGTATTTCTTTTTTAAAGCTATTTTATCATAGAATCACCAAATGGTTTGGGTTGGAAGGGACCTTGCAGACCATCTAGTCCCAACCCCCCTGCCATGGGCAGGGACACCTTCCACTAGACCAGGTTGCTCAAAGCCTCACCCAGCCTGGCTTTGAACACTTCCAGGGATGGGGCATCCACAGCTTCTCTGGGCAACCTGTTCCAGTGCCTCACCACCCTCTCTGTGAAGGTGTCATGTTGGTTATATAAACATACAAGCAGTTTGTGACAAGAAGTGCCTTTTTCAGAAAATGAAGTTTTCTTTATCTGCATAATTCACCAAAGAGCCGAGGTGTGTGTGTGTGTGGAGTTGTAAGTCGATACTTGGTCTTGTTTTCATTTTAACAAAAATCCTCTGTAATGTATTTTTTGCATGTGTGTCGTTAAGGTCCTGAAGGTCCCCCGGGTATGAGTAAAGAAGGACGTCCTGGAGACCGTGGGCAGCCCGGTAAAGATGGAGATCGTGGCAGTCCGGGAATGCCAGGACCAGCTGGACCCCCTGGAATTTGTGACCCATCACTATGTTTTAGTGTAATTGTGGGGAGAGATCCATTTAGAAAGGGACCAAATTACTAATTTGTGATACAGAACTTTAGAGGAGTAGGTATGGTGCTTGTCTTTTGTGGTCTTTCAAGTCTCAGGAAGGTGACCAGCAATAATCCCATAAGCAGGAACAAAAGTACCTCTGACATTATAAGCAATATAAATAATGATCCCAAATGTTATACATTCATTCAGAAAAGAAACTCCAACAATTTTTTAATAACTTGTAAAGTGTCTTTAAATAATCATCAGTTTTAATAGGAATAGAATTAACTATAATATTTGTTATTTAGTATTTAAGTGTCCTATCATATTCCTGTTACCACTGAAGTCCTTTGCAGAATTGCTGGAGACACCACTGGGAGCAGGATTAGGCCTTAAATGGTATTGGTCAGGTATAAATTACTGTGAAATTTTTCACATGCAGCCGACATAGAGTTTTTGATTTTGAAAGAACGTGGCTGGCTTTGATTTCATACGTGTGAATCTCATTGGCTTGTGTACATTTCATATGTCATAGCTCCAAATGTTCTGTGAGCGAAAGTAAATATCAGATTTTTATAAATTAAGAGAAATATCTGAGCTTATTATGGAAATAATATCACTTATTTTGCCATGCAACTCTGCTTAAAACCAGGGTGAAATGCAAGGGTAGAACTACTGCTTCAAGAAGGGACAAGGGTTTATTAAGGAGGTACTTTCAGCTGCAAAAATGTCAAAATGTTCCATGTGGGTTATTCAATTTATATGAAAATAACATTAAAAATAAAAAAATAACAAAAAACTAGTATAGTTGACTTGTAGTTATGATTTGGAAAAAAAAAATTAAAAAATGTTTGCACAACCCCAATGTAACAGTTCTGCATAATTAAGTAATTATAAGTTTTACATAGCCTTTGCTGTTTCTCCCCAAGGACTGCAGTTGCCAAATTGAATAAGCAGGTTCACAAGGAGAAAGGTCTAACTGCTGGCTGACTAGCTGCAATGTTTTTTGTGCTGTTTCCTTTTTCATTTTAAGCAAGTTATATGTAATTTTCACTGTATGCTTTGCTAATGAGCTGTATTGCTTGCTTTTACATAAAGAGCAAAGGCACAGTTTTCATGGGAATTTAAAATCCATCTCTTAAATTAAGGCAGAGTCTTGTATGGAACTTAACCAACGCTTTACAAGTGGCTTTTTCTCATGTGTTGTTTTTCTGTTGTCTTACTATCAGAGGTTGGTAATATGCTTGACATTCAAGGTAAAATAAAATTTTGTAAAGAACTGGTGGTAGTTTGATGAGCGATTGTAGGAGTCCCCTGTGTCCTGTGTTGCAGAAGAGTTATGCCTCTACTGCATGGAGGGATAATTCCATGTTGCAGTTTTACCCCATGTGTCCCCAGTGTCCTTCCCTTTCCTCTGGAGAAAACACGGTCCCAGGAGCAGCACCTTTCTGCTGGCTCCCACACAGATGTTCTGTGCCCAGTGGCTGCTGCCATCCCAGAGCTGTACCCACAGATGGGTGCTTGCAGCGAGTAGCAGAGCCAAACCACAGCCTTGGTTATTGCAGAGTGCATCTCATGAAGCCTAGGCTAAAAACCTCCATGATTCTGGAAAGATACTGATGTGGACCTGAGAAATGAAGCTGTGCGTGAAGTGTCTCCCCAGGGAAGGGTTCCTCGGAACACACTGTAGGACCTTGCTCGTGTGAACGAGCATTGATTGAATCTGTGGGAGAAAGCATCTTGCTTGCGTTCAATCCCACACTGTTTATATTTGGAGAGCTGAAGTGCAACACGTCACTAGGCCAGGAAGGAATCAGGATGTCTATAGAACCTTTTCAAGCTGTCTACACTGCATGGTAATTTAAACCCATGTTTAAGACACCTTTTTGAATAACAAGGATGGTGGTGTGACTGGTGAGCCCGGGAGGAAGCAAAAACAAAAGAAAAGCATGTCCGAAGGATCTCTGACTGCAGCAGATACAACTAGAAAACCAGAATTCTTTACCTGTAGAAAATCCCAGTATTTGTTTCCGCTATAATTCAAAATAAACCATTTACATTCTTCCACATCAGAAGCACAGTGGAAAAGTTGCAATTTTTTTAATATTTCACTTTTTTTTTTTGGCATTCATTTAGGCAAAACATTTCCTTCCAAATCCAAACATTTTGGTTTTATTAAGAGGGAGAAAAACTTTAATGTAGTGCATTTACAGGAAAAATGTCTCGATTAATCAGCCAGTCTGACTTTCTGATAGCTTAGGTTATGATTTCATTTGATTAAATTCATGCATATATCAAGCTTCAATTTTGAAAGTAGTGGTGATTTTGTCACCTCATTAGTCCAATTGGAGGGCTGTTTCTGAATGATTCTGACTGAGGATCTATATGTAATTTCCAGTCTTCATCTATTAATGGCCGTTTGATACACATTTATTCTGATGGTAACATCTTTGGCTTGAGTTACTCATTTTATTTATGCATCTTTTAGAAAACCAGTGTTCCCTGACAGCCTTTAGTCTGCTAGGTTAGGCAAGCAAACCTTATTTTCCACCTGTTTGAAAGGCTCTCCACTCCCTGTTCATCCCTGTAGTCCTTTGCTTGACTTTTTGAGGGGGAATGAGTCATTGTAGAAATAAGTCCAAAATTCTAGTTAAGGAACCTCAGTTGTACCTTGGTGGTGTTGATACTTACTCAAGGCACGTAGCTCTGTTCAGCTTCTCATTTTCTTAATTCTTGGGTACGTTGTAGAAGAACGATGTAGGTCTTGTGTGATGAACTAGTATTACGCAGATCTGTATTACCCTCTTCTGGTTTTTTGTAGTTGATGAGCTCTGACAGGATGGGGTAATTCAAGTTGAGGGGACCCTCAACTTAAAGTAGCTATGCTTGTTAGTTCTTAAGTATATGACCTTGCAATTCGTAGCACTGCATGTCAGAGCTTTTATACTGTTCCAATTGCAAGCTAATCCTCTTGTGTTGTGAGCCACCTTTCTTTTTATCCAGTTTTCCTTAGCATGCTCCTACATTTTGTGTCAAGGTCACTACAGAAAACAGTACTGTCTATCCAAAAAAACAATTCTTGAAGCAATCCACTTTTTGCCAATGCCAATATTTCCCTTTGAATACCACTGATTTACCTTATTTTCTTATGCATTTTAATATTCCCTTGATTGGAGACCTGTATATTTTGGTGTTGGGTTTTTTTTTCTGTCTATGCCAATAAAAGACAATTTTCCTCTACTCCTTCTGGTATAGCTCAGTCTGGCCTAGCCTGAGTATTTCTGTACAGTGATACTGAAAGAGTACAATCTCAGCTAGTATTCATTACAGCATTAAAGCAAAATCTCATGTTGGAGCTATTTTACTCTGTGTAATAGATAGTAAGGAAGACTGAGTTTGAAAACTAAATAAGAGGCTTCACTGAATGTAAAACAAACTTCAAACACTTGATCTGCCAAAGAAGGAGATTTGAAACTCAATCTGTTTGATTGCCTTAACTGCTGAGTTCTTTGGATGCGTTGAGCTTCAGTACTGCTGTATCTTTGGTATTTTGCTCTGAATTTGAGTCTGTGAACCAGTTTCATTTCTGCAAAAGGGATTTATTTTTGACAAGTTCTGACTTCATTTGATGCAGAGAGGTTATGCAGTAAATGTAGATGTGTTCACGGTCATATCTTGATTGGACCTTTAACTGAGAATATGAATATTTTTCACAGATCTTCAACTAATTCTAAAGTAAGAGGTTAAAGAAATGGTATTAAATTAGATATTTTCAGGTTAGTGATTCACAGGAGAAAGACTCCTATTTACTATTCATACAAATTATATGAGATTCTTGTGGGTGTTGATCTGCAATCAGAAGCTGTGAATAAAAAAAAAAAATATCACTGTGAAACGTCACCATCTAACTACCAGATACTGTCTGGAAACAGTTACAAGAAACTCTGTTAATTGGCATTTACTTACTCTTCTGATGATAATCTTTAAAGCTGGATCTTGGTTTAATTTTTAAGCAGAGGGTAAGATGCAAAAATAATTTCTGGACTTTTTTTTTTTTTTAGTACTATCTTGCTGTATGACCTATTAAAAAATACACTCCCTGGTTAGTATAGTGCCTGTTGGTGTCAGTAGAGGAACTACATTCACTACACTAGATTTTGAATATGGCTTCAACTCATATCTGTGTGTGTGTAAAATGGATTTAAAATTCACCACTTCACCATGGTCATTGATTGCTATTGTCTCTTAGATACTGAGACAGGTACTTGGACAAAAAGATGCAGAATTGCAAATTCTTACTGTGGGAACTGAATTTCTTAATGAAAGCTTAGTGTTGTATGGATCTCAGCTATTTGCATCTCTGACAATCATGATCTTAGAGAAGTTTCGAGTAGATACATATGGAGTGATGTGCCTATATATACATATATATATAATTTAGGAAAAGACCAGATGTCACAGATGGCTTCCACATGCGCAGATTTACTTGGTGAATATCTGTATGTATATATGGTGTGCATTTATGTATATGTATAGCTCTCAGTTCTTCATTTGTTTAACTGAAAGATATCATAGTCTTCCAATTAAAAAAGGAAAAGTAAAGGAATAAAATCTGCTTTTATTGTAAGAACTGAACTATCACAGTCCTGCTACTGCTTCTGAGCCAAGGTGTCATTGTCAGCTTCAGGTGTAACCTATATATTTCAAGGTTGGTCGGCCTCTTAGAGGAGGAACTGAGAATCATTAGCTGTGCATCTTTCAGAACTAGAGAATCTCATTTCCCAGACAGCTCGAGGTGCATGAAAATGAAATTTCCTATCAGTGCATCTGCCTGTTTGCTGGCAATGAACACCGTCAGGATCTGTCATTGTAGTTCACACAGACTGAATCAAACCCCTGTGAAAAGAGATGACAATATTTTCCTATAGGGGAAAAACATACACGATAAATCAAAATGCATCTCACTGATCCATATTCAGCAGAGACAGTAAACCATTTTAAGAACTATTGCCTCCTGGGATGCTGTTGAAATGATTAAAACTTGGATTAATATAAAAATTATTTGTGGGTTATTTTCTTCTGTTGATAAGCAAGATTTTCTCATGGAGGACGTCATCT